TATGTTGATTTCCTTATGTTTTTGGTGCAGGAATGGGAACAGCGAGTATTACACGGGGCGGGGGGGCTCTAACCTGGGGCGTGAGGCTCTAACCTTCCAGCTTTGAAGGCCTCTGGCCTGGGAGTAGAAGTATGGAGTCAGTCCTGCCTCTCTCTAAGGATGTCTGTGAAGAGCAGTGGCTGATACAGGAGCTTAGGACATTCAAGACTGTCAGGAAGGGGCCTCAAGGGTGGCCAGCCCCATTCTTTCTTCATAGCTGTGGCCATCATGAGGCAAAGCTTCTGCTGGGTCCTGATAACTAGGAAGGAGTCACAGGTATGACAATGTCACAGGGTTACCTCTATTTTGTCATTAATTAAAAAAAACCCCAGAAACAAAAACAAACAAAAGAGAGATGTGGTCATCAAAATGGCGTCCCTCTTTTGGCACTTGGATGACTTGAAATCTAGAGGCCAAGAGTTTCCTACAGATTCCTGCTTTCTGTCAGCCTGTACGGAACACAGTAGGCAGCTTCGCCCCACCCTGTGGGAGAAGGGGCTGGGTTTAATGGCTGCTCTGTTCCCCTCCTCTCTGCACTGTGTTCTGCACAGGTGAGTTTCCACGGGGCTCCACTCTGGTGGAGGCAGGGATCTAGCAGGACTCTAGTGCTGACCAACTAGATAAGGGGGTGCTGAGATGTTCAGCCTGTGCCTTCCCTACTTTCTCTTCTTCGTTGCTACTCAAGGTCACCTGACTTTGCTTCTTGGAAGGGGACAGATCTGTCCATTTCCTCCCAGCTCAATGGATCTATCACTGTCCTTGTCCTGTGGGGAGAGTGTGGGTCACTTTCTGTTCCTTGTAGTAGTTGCTGGGGACGTGATCATTTTCACATTGTGCAGTGTGGCCTGTGGCCTGGTGGCACTCAGAAATTCTCCATCGGGCATCTGCCATCGGAGGAGAGGCAGGGCTGAGGAGACTTCCGGAGGCTGGGGACCTGCCCAGCCCAGAAGGCTGTCTTGATTTCCTGGTGTTGTTCTTGGTCTAGAAACCTGAGTAGGTTCTCGGGCTTTTTGGAAATTCACCTGATTTCTCTGAGGAAGTATTTGGTCCACGTCTTGGGTTGCATTTCATACCATTGCACCTTCATGAGCTTGCTTTAAAAAAATTACATTTCTCTCTGTTTCAGCTGAGTCACTGTCCTCCTCCTCCTCCTCTTCCTCCTCCTCCTCCTGACACTTCCGGGAGCCAGAAGGAGTCCTGCCCCAAATCCTTGGCTCCTCCAGGCCAGATCTTTTCCAAATGTCAAACTCTTAGGAAACTTGGCTCAGGGTAGAGTGGGTCCTAACCCTAATCTCTTTCCTCCAGTCTTTGCTGGTCTCAGCTTTCCGGTCTTATAGAGATGGCCTGTGGGCTGGACCCTGCCTTGAGGTTTTCAGGGAGGGCCTGGCAGGAAGGCGTCACTCCTAGTAAGGGCTCATGCTCCCTATTGAGCTGCCAAAAATCTCCTTAGTGGCTTGTGAAGTCCCAGCATGGTGGAGCTGCTCTTGACCTGCTTGCTGTCTTAGAGTGGGCCTGAGACTAGCTTAGGGCCCACACTTGTAAGTCCTCAACCTTCACACCCACTTTCAGTGAATTCCCACTGTCTGAACTGCCCCTTCCCTTTGTCCCTTTGGCTACATTGTAGCCAACCTTTGAGAACAGACAGTAGAACAGAAAGCAGACAGTAGGACAGCACGGAAAGGAGGGCCAGCTCATCCAACAGGTGTTCTGAGCTTTAGGCCTCAGTCTTCCAAGATGGCCTCGAGAAATAAGGGCCTCATTTGTTCAAGTTCTGACTTGTTTTTCTGTTTGTTCAGAGGCTTAGCAGGTACAGGGTGAGTGGGGGGCTGGACTGGTCCCCTTGCCCATGACTCTAAAACTAGGTTTCCTAGTAACTTAATGTATCTGATTAGTTACATATTTGTTTATCTATTGTGCATGAGTGTGCATGTATGAATACATGTGGCAGTCTTAGGACAACTTACAAGAGTTAGTTCTCTCCTTCCACTGTGTGAGTCCCAGGGATTGAACTCATGTCATTTGGCTTGGCATTGGGTGCCTTCCCCCACTGGACTATGCCTTCATCCTTTCTATCACATTTGAAAAATTCTAACCCGGCAAGTCAGACCATCACAAAGTCAGTTACTGTGGAAGATGAAAATTTCCCAGAGGCAGCCATGTTCTGAGGGACCTTGGAGGATGAGGTGCCAGGGAAGGGAAGGGAAGGGATGGGAACATGGAGCCACCATCTTGTAGAGGATGCTAGAATCTTAGGACTGAAGCCTCCAGTCTCTCATTGCCCAGGAAATACCAAGGGAAGAGTCTAATCACCCAGGTGAGCTCTTTCCCAGTGTCTGGTTCACATCATGATACACCAGTTAGACTAGCTGTCTTACTGCTAAGGTGGGAGGAACAATTTTAGAGACTTCCTCTGTCATCACAAAACCCCCTGCACCCTGCAGACACTGCTAACCGGGAGCCAAGCAGGTGGTCCCAGTGTTCTTCAGCATAGTTGTTCCTTTTGCATGCCCTCCCCCCCCCACTTAATTTCAGAATCATTAACAATTGATGGACCCTGTGTGTTGGGTAACAGGACCTACTGACGATTCCACTTAGCACCTGTTGAGAAGCTGCCACCCCCCCACCCTGAGTTTCTTGGAGGAACTTTGTTTGTTTTCCCAAGTTGCTGCTCACCCGGTTGCATCTGATGTTCAGTAGTGACTATGTCTAGACCCAAAGGAGCCATGAAGTCTGGGTTCTGTCAAGTGACAGAGTACACGGTGTTGGCATCCATTTCAGGCATGGATTCAAGTTGGCTCTGTGACTTTTCTTCTCTTTGGGAAGTTTCTTCTTCTTCTTCTTCTTCTTCTTCTTCTTCTTCTTCTTTTTGAAGAGTGATAAAACCAAACTGCTTATGCGAGCAGCAACATGGGACTCCAGTCCAAAGCTGCTTCCTCCTCTTCTTCGCTTACAAAAAATAATTTCCATAAAAACTGTTCTCTGGCCAAGCCTTGTCCCCTCCTCAGCAGGGGACGTTCTTTCTTTCTTTCTTTCTTTCTTTCTTTCTTTCTTTCTTTCTCTCTCTCTCTCTCTCTCTCTCTTTCTTTCTTTCTTTCTTTCTTTCTTTCTCTTTTTTTTGTTGACTTCAGCACAAATTCAAATTTCTCTCTCCAGATTTTGGGCTGTGTCTCCATGTCCCTTGGGAAACTTTGTTAAGACCCAGCATATTTGAGGCCTCTCTGCTTTCTTTCTCCCCAAGCCTAATAATCCAGCCATGAGAGTTTGGGGAGGCAGATGCCTGTCTGAATTGATTTGTGTGCATTAAACTCATGCGTTCACACCTGGATGAGAGAGGTGTCAGATGGAGTCACAGGGCAGCTCCAGGTCACCTCAGGAGCTAAGTAGCCTTGTCATTGAGTCTGGGCATAAGTAAGATGTGTTTGTGCTTCCGTTTCTTTATCTGTCAACTGAGGTTTGGAAATGATATTGCTAAGCACCAGGAGAAGCAGGGGCACATAACTGGCCCTGGCATGTTGAGAGCGGCTGTGTTAAGTGGGTAAGTAAGGGAAGTCTGGGTCCTCAGACAGGGCTGGCCGCGGGGTGAATTTGATGAAAGAAATACTCATATTGTGTTCACACCAGCCAGCTGCTCTCCAGGTGCTTTCCTCAATAGCCTGAGAGGGGGGAACACTTATAAAGTCATCCACATACAGGAAAGTGAAGTGGCTACCCCATCTCCCTCATGTCTGACTGTGCCAACCAACCCTTCGGTTCTGCAGGAGTCCAGGTGAGAGCATTCATTTTCTTTTCTGCTCTGTAGCAGAATTCCTCCAAGGCTAGGTACTATAAATACAAGAGTATATTTATTCTTTCCCCAGGCCTTGTGCAAAATAGGAAGCTTATTTATTCATTTGTTCATTCATTCATTTATATTTACAATTATCTAGGTTTGTATGCACCCGTGGAAGCACCCTCCTGCCCCATGTCACAGTGCACACGTGGAGGTCAGAGGGTGGAGGTCAGAGGATAGCTTTCAGGAGTTGGTTCTCTCCTTCCGTGAGGAAGGTCATCAGGTTTGACAGCAAGAGCCTTTTCACTTGCTAAGACAATTCGCTGGCCCAGCTGGGCTTCTCTGGCCTGTCAAGTGGGAACAGGAATGTGGAGTGTGGGCTCAGGTGGGATAATGCTTGCTTGGTGTCCACCAGGGATAGTGTGCACACTGTGGCCACACTGGGGTGAAGGACAGCTCAAGTGTTGCTTTGCAGCGGTAGCCAAGGGCAGGGGAAAGAGCTGGTGAGCGACCCGGCAGGTTGTAAGCCATTGAGTGATTGAGCTGATGGCTGGGGCTGAAGGAAGGTGTGTCCTTGGAAGGTGACAGAAAGTGAACTTTGAGAGCTGTCTGGGCTGAGGACAGCAGAGAATTCCCTTTCCTCTTGGTGGCTCCTGTGGGGCCTTGGCCAGAGTCCCTGGGATGAGGAAGTGCTGAGAGGTGGGTGGGGCTTCATTACCTGGCTTCCCTCCCACAGGCATGCAGTGTGAGCATTGTCAACAGCCCTCCCTTACCTCCCTTCACACCTTACATCCAAGCTGTTCAGGAAGAGCACTGCTCAGGAACGTGTCATTTATCTAAAACCTTTATTAATGCTCGAAGGAAAACAAGGCCACGTGACAGTGTCCGGCCCTGCGGCGGCCTAACTACGTAAAAGAAGCAGACACTGACTTAGCATCCCACGTGGTACTATTCTTCCATAGGAAGTGGATGCCAGCAACATTGCCTCCATGTTGTTTCAGAGATGCCACTGGCTGGGTTCAGAGATCCAGCGTGTGTGTATGTGTGTGAGGACATCTGGGCTGCTGTTTCCTATTCATTCGCCTTTGGGCTGTCAAGGATTTGCTGTCTTTGGCTCTCTCATTTTAGAATAACAGGGCTATTTATTGATACAAAGGAGAGGTGTTCAGATCATCTCGTTAAGATTCGAGGCTCAAAATAAACATTGGATCTTTATTTGGAAACCTGCATCCTTCCTCACAGGAAGGCTCCCGAGTGAATGTGTGTGAAGCCGAGACTCAAGGAGGAGCTGTTTCTAACAGCTGCCCTGCTTATGTTTTAGTCTGTGCAAATGATGCCATCAGGCACACAAGACTTTGAACAGTTTTGAGCAAAAGGGCCTGAGAGATAAATATATTCATTCCACATTTCTAATCACACAAGGAACCATGAAATTATACACACACACACATATATATACTTCTTGCGGGTGACAGACAGGAGGGGGGGAAGGGATGACAGAGGCGTGGAAAATACACATCAGAAATCAGTCAGTGGGTTCAAATGAACAGAGGAAGTGATTTTATGCCTTTGGGGGAAACACTGAGATAATAAATATGAACGATGAATATTTACAGTAGGAACAACAAATAGAACATCAGTAAGTGGACACAAGACACTGACGAACCCAGTCTAGACTTTCGGACAAGCGAGCAGCTGAGTCAGAAACGAAGGAGAATGTTTGTGAGTGATGTAAGAGAAAGAGTCCAGGGGGCACGCAGGCGCGTGGCATGAGAGGGCTACAGTCTACATTTGTTTCCCGTGGTGAAGCCTGACATTCTGGGCCTCCTTCCTTCCGGGCAGAACTGATTAAATGCACACTCTTTCTTCTCTGCCTCCTCACACCTTTCTGGGGGGTTTCCTAGCATATCATCAGCCCACCCCTCCACAAATAACATTTTTTCCCAAAGCATAGCCTATGAGATATTGCGATCCTTCACACAGAGACACCAGCTGAGTTTGGGGAAGTACTTAGAGAAACATGGCTGACTCTGGCCTCAGGGACCTGCCAGGGAGAACTAGGGGAGTTCGGTAAGGAAGAATGCATGCTTTTCACCCTGCTCCCTAGAACAGGGAGCATGCTGTGTACAGTCTGAGGCGTGCTCAGCTGGATGCCTGCTGAAGAGAACCTTAGTGGAACAGAGCCAAACCTTTCCATTTATTTCGTGCTGTGCAAAGCTGGCTAGCGGCAACAGAAACCATGCAGCCTGCCGAACTGAAACTCCCTAATTACTATTTGGCCCTTCGTAGAAAAAGTTGGCTGAGCCTTGCTCTGGAGACCTGGCCCAGGATTCCCTCCACTTCTGCAACTCTGGCTGCCAGAGGAATAACTTCGTCAACTGAAGAGGAAGGGGATCCTGATGTGGAACCTGAACAGTCCCTTCTCTCCCCTTTGACCTCTCTTTTGTCCGACTGCACTTCTCTCCTCGTTGCTAAATTTCCACTTTGGCCATGGAAAGCCCTGTCTCTTAGAGAATAAGCTATTTTGTCCAAGCATGCTGGGAGTGACATTCCCCACAGGCAACGGTTCCCTTAGCCATCTGGATGCCTTCCTCTCTTCTCCCTCTTTATGGCATGCAGAAGCTGAACTCCAACTTGGCTACACCGATTCGACGTACACGTTCATGGACCTTGGCTGAGGGCAAGCTGAGATAGCAAAACTCTAGGGAAAGGCTGTCTGTGGAAAGGAGTCCTTGTCTGTGCATCTCCCTATCGGTATCCGTCTGTTCCGGGGCGGGGAGGGGGACGAGACGCCCACGTGGACAGTGCTGCTTGGACTCTTAAAAAAAAAAAACCCTCACAAAAATTTACCCTCCAGAGATGGGCTGGGGTTGGTCTTCTTCCTCGTCTAAGCTGGTTTTTGTGACCCAGTTGTTTGGTTTGAAAGCCATTTATTTAGATGACAGACACGTAGATGTAGATGTCAATTGATTAAAAAAAAAAAGTAAAATGGAGATCTGAAACAGTGGTCAAAATAAACAAACAGAGGCCACTCCTCAGTGTCCCCCAGACAGAACAATGGCTCAGAAACGACACACAGAAAATGTACCATCCATGTCCCCTCCAGCAGCTCTGAAATGCAAGATCCCATGCGCGACACTAAACTTCCGGTTTGGTATTGCATGGAGCTAAGCCCCTTCATCCTCTCTGCTCTCTCTGCCTTGTCAGCTGCACTTCCCACTCAGCCCTACCCAGGAACCCAGCCGCCTACTCACTGCAGACAGCACTGGGAACTGTGGGGGAGAGCCTGCCACCCACTTGTGGCCCCTCCCATCCTAGGCTGACCTCCCCCCAACAGTACTTTAGCCACCCTCTAGCTCCACAGACCAAAGAGCCAAGATAACAAGGCCTACTCAAGGCAACACTCCCTCCAACGAGCTTACGAAGGTGCCAACCCACCAGGCACCCGAGACCTTGCTGCCCTGGAATCTTCACCTCACCTGTTCACACACCTGCACGAAGTCCACAATTTGCACACATCCTGCGTGTGACATCCCCCCTCTTTAATGTAAATGTTTTGGAATGTCCATAGGTAAGAAAATGGACGGCCTGGAGGAAAGCTTTCACGGCCGGATTTTCACTTCACCTCCGGATGTCGGAATACTCAGACTGTTCGTCTTCCCACTCACTGCTCCCAGAGGGTCCCTGGGCGCTTTGGCCACCCATTCCACCTCGAGCATGGGCATTCGGGTGGCTTTTGCTCCCTCGCTCACCCTTGGCACCTCTGTTGGCTGTCAGGTGGAGGTCTGTGTCCCGGTGGTGAGGCCTGGAGAGCTGGGCCCTGTCTGCCAGGGGCTGGTGCTCAGGGGCTGCAGTGGGAGGTCTCTGTATGTTGGAGGTGCAGAAACTCAGGATAGAACACAGACCTCCCCAGCTCTGTTCACACTGAACCTGGACGCTGCGGGTGACCGCCTCCTTCACGTCGTCCCCACAGGTCAGCAGCAGGTTCACAAGGTCCACATAGGGCCTAGAGATGAGAGCCGAGGCAGAAAGTCAGGATGGAGTATGCCCTAAAGGAGCCCTGGGAAGTTGTGACTAGGTTAAGAGGGAGGCGGTGCCTAACTTGGGCTCAGTGGGTGATCTTTGTAGACTGGGTTCCATAGTAGGCAATGCAGGATATTAAGGCATTCTTGCTTTCCAGATGGGTGTAGAGCCCCAGGAAAAAGGGCCACTGACAATGTGGATACACAAGAGGAAACCTGAGGGCTAGAACATTAATTCAAGGTACGCATCGCAGTCAGAGGAGCTGTGTGAACAGAGAACGCAGGGGTGCCTTGGGCACATCCAGGTTGCAGGAGCTTTGTGAGCTTTGAGTGGAGTGGAGACAATCTTAGCAAATGGTGGAGGGCCTTCACTATCACATTCGTGTGTGTGTGTTTTGATGGACTAAGGAGCACTTGAGCCGCCTTCAGAAGGCTCCACAGGTACCTTGCCTTTCATAGTGAGGGTCTCCCAAGGCCACATTCCTTGTCTGTGTGCTCCTGACTTATGCTTACAATGGAGGGCTTTTGGTTTTTATACAGGGTAAGCCTGTTTAGGAAAATCCGCGAAGGACCCAGATGCACTGCAGAGGGGACTTCCCTGTGGCGTCATCTCCCTTTGCAGGTAGCAGGGAGTTGGGATGCTATCCATAGCCCTCACAGTCAGCCAGGACTTCCTTTACACTGGCACGTGGGCTGGCTGTCAGGGTGCCCCTGGCCAGAATGAGAACAGCTCTCTGGTAGACAAATACGGTCTGTAGGGGCCTCAGAGCTGTGATCGCCACCTGCACTGACCCCAGCCACAGCCTGAGTTGTTCTTTAGCCAAACAGGTGGAGGACTTCATTGTAGGGGGCAGAGGAAGTGTGCCCACTCTTTGTATTTATGGGCTTCCTTGGTAAAGCATGTCTGCATCAGCGAGTTCTCAGGGCCTATCCACTGAGCTTTTCTTAACTCTCACTGGCCTCTTCGGATTCCAAAAAGAATGTGAGATGCTTCATGTGACTGTGTGGCTAACTAGAATCAAGCCGTCTCTAAAAAGCCTGGACATATCTGCCCATGGCATACAACCCTGCCCTGCCCTTATTCCCCCCCCCCCCCCCCGTAGGGAAATCACCATGGGATGTGCAGTCATTTATAAGGAACAAGGATTTCCTCCTTCCTGGGATTTGACCTGAGTCTCTGATGTCTACCCTCGGGTGCTTGTAATCTTCCCCTGCAAGGTAGCAACTGTTGCTCTGCAGAAAAAGTAGCATCTCTTAAAAGACATGTGCTATATTCACTGCCTTTTTCTAGCTACTCAAGTTGGAATGGAGTGAGCTATCCTTACTTAAAAGGATGTAAGAACCAGGAAGAGTACAGAAGGAAAGCCCCACCCCCACCCCGCCCTCCAGGGAACACCAGGGTGAGGAAGGCCTGGGGAACAGCCCAAAGGAATGTTCTGGAGCTTCTGGTTTAGAGGCCTATATTTATTCCTTAGGCTTCCCGGTTTGTGCCCGGCTGGTGGGCAGGGTCCTGAGGGGCTCTCCAGCAGGCCTCTGGCGGTGGTAAGGATAGTTTTATACTGTCTCGTTGAACACTTTGAGGAGGAAGGTACCTGGGAAGGGATGCTGAAGCCGCTCATATCCTTCTACCTTTTGGAGACAAACACTATCTTAAGAAGCTCAAGTCTAACGAGTCTATCTGCAAAATGGAAGCAAGATAGATATTCGGTCACTTGCTGGCTCTATCAGGGTAACTGATTCTCCCCTTTCAGCTTCTTTCCTTTAGTGAACCTCTCCCGGGAGTTCTGTTGTTTCTGGGGCCTTCCCCATCATGTATGTCTACCACCGAACCCAGGACCTGAAAGGCAGACACTGGCCTTCCAAGGCAGGACTAGTCCCCTTCTCTTTGGCTTGCTCTGTCTTCTCTCTCAGGGAGGAAGCTGAGCCCTGTGGGGAGGGTGTGTGTGGCCAAGTAAGTTAATCTAAACCGTGCTTTGGGTTGGCAAGGTGCCTTCTCAGGCTGCAGGCTGAGCCTGTCTGATGACAAAATCCAGCACTTAACTGAGTGTCAGCAAGGCTGAAGGAGGGGGATGTGCCTGAGGCTCCAAACCCTTGGTGGCTGCCAGTACCTGGTGACAGGGTGTGCAGAAGCCCAGGGAGACTGGCTACAGCTAGGGGGAGGCAGACGATAAGGAGAAAGTGGGGTAGCGCTGACAGGGGCAGCTTGCAGACTGGACATTGCTGCTGTTCCTGCTCCCAGCATGAGCCTAGAAGAGGAATGGACTGGTTTGGATTCTGCAGCGACTGCCTTTCTCCTCTTTAGCATGAAAAAGCAAAGTTGGCTCGCATTCTAGTGTTTGTGACTCTTGCCACACACTCAGAGATGACTTTCTTGGTATTTCAGGGCTGACAAGGCCCTTTAATCAGTTAAGCTGGTTGAAAATTGGGCAAAGTTCAGGCAATTCCGCTCGAAGTCGAGGCATTGCATTGCTGCATTGCAACACGGAATGAGGGTTTCAAGGGAATGTAGCTGGAATTTGGTACAATCTGCTGTCCAGAAGAACTGGCTTAGAAGGGGAAGGAGGCCCTGCACGTGGCCTCCTGGCAGTGTTCTCAAGACACCCACGCCTCTGCTCAGGGTGGGCCACCTGCTTCTCCAGAGCAGGCCAGAGTTGGCTACCACTGCTTATTCTAAATGGTGTGTGGGGATCCTTTGAAACAAGAGTCCCTGGCTGGGTATCTGTGGAAGAGACACTAGAACACCAATGTGCTTTAACCCTTTCTAAATTCTAGGGTGGGGTGTGTGTTCCCCAAACCTGAAAATCCTGAGTTCTCCCAAAGACCCCCTTTTAAAGAGGATAGCAGCACATCACACACTCCAGGAATCTAGTATAAATGTTTACCAGGGGCCCAACCTCCCACTCACAAGGCCAAGAAACCATCTTAGATACAGAGCCTTGGGAGGTTCCTTGACTGTAAACATGTGCTTCTTTCAAGAGCACCTTGAAAGAAAAGACCCTAACCCTGTGGTTATGATGAGGGAGTAATGAAGTAAAAGAAGAAGCCCTGGTCATATATGAAGACCCATGAAGCCTTAGCAGGTCTAGCAAGAACAGGCTAGGGGGGAACGCGGCAGAAGGCATCCTGACAGCTGGCTTACTCCTCAGATGCAGTTTCAGTCATATGGTTAGCTCTGTGCTTGTGGACTCAACTAGCCAACCACAGATCACTGTTTCAGAGACCGCTTGGCTCTGTGCTGATGCAGGTTTATTTTCTTGACACTGTTTCCTAAGCACTGTAGACTAACACCTTACACAGCAATCGTGTTGTCTTTAGGTATTACAACTCATCCAGAGTAGATGGGTGGATGCTAAATCGTATGCAAATACTTCATCGATATATCTAGACTTTCTCATTCATGGATGTTGGTATGTCAGGGAGGTCCCTGTGGACAGCCAGAGGAGACTGATTTTTTATTCCCCAGGCTGCAAAGGAGGAATCAAATCTCACCGGTAAGAAACTTAAACTCTTAGCTTCACTAGCCTTCTCTATGGAATGGAGATGCTATTTTCAGTCTTGTAGTTAGTTTGGAAAGACAAGCACAGCAATCCATGGATATCCCATAGCAAAGGCCCTGCCTGGCACACCAAAGACAAAATCCAACTGCCGCTGCTATTGTTCCTTTGTAAATATTCGAGAGGACAAAAATATGTTGTAAAGCATTAGTTGAGTTAAAAAACAATGCAATTTTTTTTCTTTGCTTTTGGAAAGAGCAGCTTGCAGAATTTCACCACAAATAATTCAGTATTGTACCAAGCAAGGTGTTGCAAGCTACTAAAGGCTGTGTAAAGTGGGTAGCGACAGGAGATGGCTGCCGCCAGAATCTAGGCATTAAGTGTGGTGAAGGCAGGGAATATGTTTGGTGACATAACCAGGAGGTTGTCCCTAAAGTTGTGCTGATTTGGCCCAATGAGTCACTTTGGAAAGACGGACATTGCTACAGAGGGGGCAGTGACCGGCACTGGACTCAACTGACCCTTTTGCTCCGTATCTGTCTCTGGGGCCTATGGACCAGATCTTATGTTAGAAACAATGATGTAGTCTGTTTTAACGCTCTGCAAAATCCAGGATCCTGCAGGTGTGGTGAGTTTCAAGGATTGAGAGTTTTTGGCCTTATCACTGAACTGTGACTCTTTAAATCCAATTTAGCTTGCATGTCTAGCTGACTAAAGTTTCTGATGTGTGTTTTGTGCTTTCTGCAGAGATAGAGACGGGGAAGGGGAGTCTCTGAAAGATGAAAAGGCTGCAGATGAGATTAGAATATTTAAGAGCAACTGTTGTAACCACACTGCCTGGACCCCAGAGCCTAGCTTTGCTTTTCCCTGTGTGTCCTTCACCTCAGCAGGCTCAGTTTTCTCATCTGTGAACTGGGGATATAAAGAGGTGTTGTGAGGACTGGGTAGCACACTTGGCATAGTACTTAGCATGCAAAACCAGGTGAGTGTCAGTATGTACCAGCTGTCTATACTGACACCCGTGAGCCACTTGAACCACACAGTAATCAGTAGTGGTACTTGGGTAGGGGCAGGATGGAAACTGTTTCTGACTGTAGATATTTTGTGCTTAGTGAAAATGATCCAGTTCTGTTTGTGGGAATTTCAAATCTGATGACTTTCTGGGGGGCTTTTGAGCTTTTTGGGGGCACCCCACAACTGTATCCACCTGAAGGTAGTTCACCTCCAAAAATAGCATCCTCATACACACTTCGAGCCCTCGGAACCCCGTGCTTGCCAGGTACCCCTTCCTCCCGTTCTCCTGGGGGCGGGATGGTACTCACTCATGCAGCAGGAGATCCTTGAAGTGAATCATCTCCACGATCACGCCGACGTTCTCCTGCGCTGCTGAGCACAGGTCGTGCTTGACATAGCATTCTTTCTGCAGCTGGAAGACCATCTCCCTAATTGCTGGACACTTCCTGCTGATGCAGCCAAACTTGTGCCGCAGGGCGTGGGCCTTGCACCTCAGGGCGTCCTTGATGAACGACTTGCCCTAGAAACGGAGGGCACAGAAGGGAGAGGCCAAAGGAGATTGTGCCACCTGCCAGGATGACACGTGCCAGTCTCAGGCTTGCTCAGGAGTCTTTAATCTCAGAGACCCAAGGTTCTATTCGGATGGATGTTCTTTCAGGTGACATGACCCTATTCCCCACCCCACCTCTGCATCAGGCCAGAGTACACAAGCTGATCTACCTCTGTCTCTCCACCCCAGTTACTCTTCTAGTTTCCTGAAACTGGGGCTTCCTCCAGGCAGCTGGGTGGGGACTGCCTGGTAGCAAATTCTCTGGAACCCCAGGGGACTGGGCCATAACTCCTTGGCCAGTATCAGCAAGATTACACTTCTCTTTTTCTCTCTACCTATGGGAGGCCGTGCACTTGGAGTGTTGCATTTCCTTTCTAGGGCTCTAGCTCATGGTCTTGTCTGCTCCTCTTGTGCTGCCACAAGGAACATCCTTTGCTTTTAAACTGCTGGGATTCCAGTTTCTAAAAGGCCCACCTGGCACCTAGCGTGGCCGCTTGCAAGTGGGACAGGGAACATCCTTCCAGCTCTACCTCAGAGAGATGAGGCAGCTGGGCACACATGTGACCCGCAGCACTCTCTTCTGGGAGCCCCAGCACATCACGCCAAGGCCAGAAAGGAGACAGCTTCCAGGATATGGTGGCAAGCTCCTGCCTCCACTCCTACCAACCTGGCCTAGAGACATTGCTGGGTGTCTAGCCGTGAAATCTCCCTTCAGTTACTATGACAATAAGCCATCGGAAGAGGCAACCCCAGATTTTTGTTTTTGTTTGTTTTAGAAGCAGGTCTGGAAATCACTGAGTTGAGAAAGCGAACCCGGTTAGGTTGGAAGTGGGAAGCCAGCCAGCATATTTATTTTGGTTTTCTCTTTAGATACGTCTACAGACAGTGGAAACCCACGTGGCACACACGCCCTTCCTGTGGCCCGTTTCTTTTATTTGGCTGGAGCCAAATGGGATGGAGGGCAGGGCTTGGCACTTTCCTAAGTAGCTGTGTGCTGAGAATTGACTTGGAAGGCTCGCCTCTACCTTGAGAACATACTCCTATTGGTTGAGAAAACAAGGAGGGATGGATCTCTGTGAGGGCTGCGGCAAGCTGGTGTTTATATTCTTCTCTGACATCCGGTGGGAAGGCCCTGGACACACTCCTCTCTTCCGGATTTCCTATGGTGTGTGTCCTTGCTCCAGTCAGTTCTGATGGGGGTTGGGGGTCACCTTTTTTAAGGAGACTCAAGGAGTTCAAAGTTTTCTCCCTTTCCTCCTGGTCTCTGTTTCCCCTTCCGCTACCTCACATCCTCCGAATTTTAGGCTGCTGGGCCGTCACATCCCTTTCTGGTGGACAGGCCTTGCTTTGTCAGGCTGTCTACAGAGTGTCAGCAGACGGTGACTGGTCTTTTATAAAATCACATCTCAACTGTTGACCTCTTAGCCACCACACTCCAGTGGAATAGGAGAGGAAGTGTGGGAGATAAAATGGTGTTTCAACAGAGATGAGAGCCGGGCACAAAGTGAAGGCAATCCTACTGCCACACGCCGTCTAAACACGCATCTGGGCCCTCTGTGACAGACCACCAGCTTGCTTACTGGTTTTCTGCCCTGGGCAGCAACTCAGGTCTATCTTGGGATATCTGAGGTGGATTCAGCTTTGAGTGTAAGACAAGGGAGGTTCAGTCAGGGTTTTGACTTTTCAGATTGGGAGAGGAGACTGCTCCCTGCTGTTTGGAGGCTGTGAATTGTCTAGGCTGCCTGTATGCACACACACATACACATACATATTATATTGGATGAGCCTTTGCTATTTATACCTAGGGTCCTGCCACGTCAGCCCTTTCTTCCTAATGTGATGGGTTTTGGGACTGGGTTCTAGTTTTCCAGACTGTTTATCACTGGCTGTGATTTCAGTGTCCAGTCTGCTCTGCCTGGGTGGTTTTAGCATAAGAATGTAGAAGGATTTGGCGCTCCAGAAAAAAGAGCAATGGGGGAACACAGAAACTCCGGAGCCCTGCTGCACACCTGCAAACACCAGACTCTCAAATAACTCAAGTCCAGGAAATCTGCTAACAAGTCTTTCCAGCCAATATTTCAACTCCTCTAGGACAACCCAGAGTATCTTTCATGCTCTATGTTCTTTTTACCTGGGCATCGAATTTTCCAGCGTTGTGTAGAAACGTCATGCAAATCCCATGTAAGCCCTGGATCTCACAAGAGTTGTTCTCGAAACATTCAAACACACCACATCCCACGTCCCCGGCGTTGACCAAACAATGCTGGATCTCAGCTAAAACAAAAAATTGCATACAAAGCTTTCTGTCATGTTAAGAGTTAATAAGGGCTAGAGGGAAAAAAAACTGAGAGAAAAGTCGTACCAATTTCAAAATCTAAGGAGTGGAAAGAAAAATGTCATTATTTACTACTGCATATGGAAAGAATGGGTATTTATAAAATTAACCAAAATAAACAAATATCACAGTAGTCTGAGCCTTTTCTTCCTTTGTATCTTTTCCACTTAATGAAGGTATTTGTGGACTACTGTTCAAGAGCAGGAAAGACTTCAGCTTTTAAAACCCACAGAGAAAATAAGATTTAAAAGAGACCACATTTCATGAATTAAATGTCGTTCTCTACGTGGGGCTGCAGAAGCCACTGCCGTTAAGATCCGGCCATTTCCTTCCTGACCCCAGACGAAAGCGTCCAAGCAACTTCAATTCAGCTTTATGATTCAACACCTAAAAATCAAAACAAGATTCCTATTAAAGCCGTGCCTCCAAACCACCCGCATTAAAAATGTCAGGCCACGGAGGCTGCAGCTGGCAACAGCCTCAGAACTGAGGAGGCAGGTGGGGGCTGGCCTTTCCACTCGCCACCATTCGCTTTGGAAGTTCCTTTTAATTAGGGATCCGGTGTGAGATATCACTTAATCCCCTCGAATCCCTGAGGCCCCAGAGCCTGCTCCCTCTTCCAAGATGTCCTAATTCGTTAGCCTGTAAGGACAGACCGGGAGCTGTCAGGCTGCGGCAGTGCAGTCTCATGCCTCGCTCGCTCACTCAGTTCTACGATTTAAAACAACCGCAAAATTACATGAGGAACGTGTATTTTGGAAGAAGGGCGGGGCTCGAGTCGAGAAATCTGTATCAGATGAAATCTAACAAGAGGGGCGTGTGTTTGTGAAGGGGTGCCTAAACCAGAGAGGGGGCAGGGCGGACAAGAGACCCTGGACTGTGCGCCTGGGAGAGAGGCTGAACTGACTCCACGGGTGACCGCGGGCAGGGCAGTGATCACTCACTTGGAGGACCCTGATCGGCACTTGTGCATTCCGGCTCAGGCAAGGAGCGCACGCACGCCGCGGCCGCGTCTTTCACGCGGTCCCCCGAGGAATAGCGGGGGTGGGGGCGTGAGCTAGAAGTCGGGCGGCAGACACGTTTCTTTCTCTCCCGGGAGCTGGGAAGAAGGCCAGCCCCGTGTGCCACACGCCAGGCTCTGCGCTGCAGCTTGCTGGTGAGCAGGGCCGCGCACGACTCGGGTCGTGTCAACATTTCTTCCCTTGCTGACCTGGGTAGGAACACGGCCGCAGCATCAGAGGTACGCTTCGAGAACCCCCTCCCCCAAAGGAAAAGTTCTCGATGCCATTTAATTGGCCAGGAAAGTTCTGGGATGTCCGGCATCTTTGGAGGAAAGGGAGACAGTCCCTGCCAGGCTGGCCGGCCTGGAAACGAAGTTCTGGGTGCAGGGCGAGCCCAGCTCCGGGGACCCTTGGTACCTCGCATGAGCCAGGCGGGACGAAGTGCGCCCTGCTCCGGACCCCGGACTCTGGCTAGAGCTGGCAGCTGCGTCAAGCGCAACCTCGTTCCCCCCTTAGTCCCAGGGGAGGCTAGCAACAAGTCCTGCCTCAGCCATTTCATCACCCTGCTAGCACGTGCCGATTCCGGACTCTCGCAGCCAGGGCCAGACCTCGCTTCGCCTTGCTCTTCCCTCTGCACGTCCCGAGCCACCAAGAGTTTGTGCCGCCCGGGGTGAGGTCGGGTCGCCGGCTTGGGGCGAAAGGCACCCGGCGCGCTGCGAGCATGCACCCTGTTCTACCCCCGGCAGCTCCAGGCTGCAGGGCGCACGCGTTTACCTGTGTTCTGCAGGGACAGACGGCCTTTCTGCTGCGAGCCCCTGTCCTGGGGACCTTCCGGAGGGTTCGTGGAGTCCGTCCCCCGCGCCGGGTCCAAGGTGGCAAACACCAAAGCCAGGGTCACGAACTGGCCCAGCCGCTCTGCACACATGGTTCTGGGTATCACCCTCCCGCCTGGAGACCTGGATTCTTTGTGCGCCCCTCCTCCTCCTCTTCCTCCTCTGCCGCTTCCCCCCTCCTCCACTCTTCCTCCTCGCTGGCCCCTTCCCTCCTCCTCGCCGCGGCTGGGATAGAGGTTACCCAGCACCCTCCCGTAGCTCTCCGGAGAGCATGTGACCAGGCCGTTAGCCGCGCCGCGAGTGCCCGGCGATAGCAGGGATGGTGCCTCAAATATCCCTGGAAGCTCTGGTGTCACTTGAATGAAGGAGTCGAGCAGGTGTTGTCCCGGAGGCTGGACCAATCGGAGACCCCAGCCCGTTTGACAACACAGCGGGAGGCGGGGCCTGCGCCAACTACTACGGGAGGAAGCCGAGCGCCGCCGCGAGCGCCCCACAAAGTTGCAGACCTGGCGGCGGCCACGCGTTTGCGTGAGTGTGTGTGAGCGCGGCCCAAGACCCGCGTGTGCGGGTGCTCCGAGGCAATGGCCGAACGGACTGAGGGGGGAATAATTAAAGCGGATGCCAGCTCTACTTGCAACTAAAAACTAAAAAAAAAGGGGGGGGGGGGGGGGGGGGAGCGGGAGAAGTCGGTCTTCACTAGGATAGAGTCCCCAGGGTTCGCATCCGGCTGGGAAAGTTTCCTCTTTGGAACACAGTGACATTTTCAGCCCCAAGGCCTGAACAGATTGGAACAGATACCTGGGCACAGAGATGGTGCGAGCAAATTGAGCTCTGGTGGGAATTCCTAAGCGTCGTGACGCTTGATATAATAAAAAAAGGCACTTGGAGACAGGCGCTGAAGCCCTGAAGCGCTTGACCCGATTGACTGCCCACTTCCCACTTTCTTTCTACCTGGATTTGATGGATCCAACAACACCTGGGGCGTCTCGTCTCGCCCCTCCTCCAATCCAGACGGATTCCTGTCTGGGCTTCAGGGATCCAGGTGACAATCCAGACTTGCATCATTTCCTGGCTGGTGGCTTGGAGGCCCAGGCAGCCTTGGGTCAGGAGGCCCGCGGAGCATCGCATGCCCCAGAGGCCCGAGCTTGACAGGCAACTTTAGGCGTCTCCAAACACACTCTTTATTTTTTTTTTTTCCCCAAATGCCACTAAGCCCAGCTACGGGTTTTCTTTACCCCACAGTCCTCTAATGTAAAATTAAAGCACCCCCGCCCCAAATCTGGGGACGTTCTCTGCATCTTTTCTCCTCTCCCTGAAGCCCCCTCCTTAAGCACCCTGGAATCATCGCCTTCAGCAGCAATCTCCGCTGCGGGAGGAAACATGGAGAAAGTTGGGCGCTGCCGGGAGCGTCTCTCCTCCCTGCTGTGTGTGTACGTGTGCACGCTCACGTCTCCCTCGCTCTGGGCCCGGGACAGGAACTGCTGCTCTTGGCCTCGTTAACCCGAAGGAGTAATTCGGGGGGCCAGCTTGGTTGGGGGAGGGTGGAGAGGCGAGCGCTGCCACCTAGCGCCACCTGGCCCTCGTCCGGTATTGGCACTCCTTACCCCTCCCCCGCACTCCCTACCCTAGTCTTGGAGAACAGGTGAGCCTGGGTACCAACTCTCAACCCCTGTCCTTGCCCGACTTCCCGCTCGCCCTCGCATTCTGCAGTAATGCGCCTGGGAGGTTTCATCACCCACCGCCCGCGGCGACTGCAACCCTGGGCCTCCGAAGCGAGGCGCGCTCTCAGCCTCTTCTGCGCCTACGTGTGTGACACGCCTGGGGGAGGGGTATAGAAATGGGCGCGCAGGTTGTCTTTCCGCAGCTGCTCTGCTTTCCCTGGGTGCCAGCTGCTCTCCAGCGAGGGAAATGAGGAAGCTGGGGGTCAGGGTGATTTCTGCTTCATACTGGAGGAAGGAGGTGGGAAGGTGCCCTGGAAATGGACTTTTCAGGGGCAGGACTTCTTGGAGCTTCTGTCCATAGTACCCTCCAGCCCAGGAAACGGTCACTTTGAGTCTCTTAGTCTTCGGTGGGAAGAAACTGGCCATTCGTGACCATAATAGCAGTGACTTTCTCATTTGTCTTTTGAGGAAGGTGGGTGGATGTTAGGGATAATGGTGGACCATCTTTGCTTGTTTGAATAGTCAATTTAGCTCCCTTTATTAGTTTGAAGGGGCACCCTCCTGTACATCTTTCAAAACAAAACAAAAAAGCAATTTGATCTGCTCCCACCCTTTAAGGCCAAAAATTTCCTGGGAGAGTCAAATGGTTCCCAGCCTTACTTAACTTTTAGAGCTAGATAGACCTCTCTTGTGGCCTCTTTCATGAACAAAAGTGGTATCAGAGAAACAGAATCTGGAGATTCAGGCAGCAGAGGGAAACCACTCTCTTTGTTCCGTTGTAGAGAGGCCCTGCACCTGTCCTCAGAGGGTCTGCATGGTTTGAAAAAAAAAGTCATCTAAGACTTTAACTTCAAGTTTCAAAGGAATTTCATCTGAACTTGCTGGTGCTTTGGAAAGAGCGCACAGTAGCTAGATGCATGGTGCTGTAAGCGCACATGGTATCCTTTCTTGAAGTTTCATCTCTGGCCAATGCCAAAGCATTCAGACAAAGATGCTCTCCCAGTCCGTCTCACCAGGGCTGCAGACCAACTGGGAGGTTTCCTTGGTAATCCTCTAGGACAAAGGGCCAGAGCAAAATGAGGTGGGGCATGGCTCACACTACTGTCTTTGTGGTGATTTCCCTCTTCTCTGCAGATTCCTCTATCTCCCTGGGGCTGAGTTTGGCAGTTGAGTGGAATGGGCTGGGGACAGTATATGACACTTACAAAGCATGAATTAAGCACAGACACTGCACACATCGAAAGGTTGAAACTTTGGTTTCTCTCTAACCCTAACATCCACGCTAAGACTTGGAGGAGCAAAGACTGGTCAGCCAGTGCTGCCCTTGTGGTTCCAGTGTCTGTGGACATGCCCACCTCAGTTTGAGACATATAACTGCTGAGACAGGTCTGGTTTGTCTGTGACAGCCAGACTTTGGGAGCGGGGAGGGCTGTTTCTGATGTGTTTATAAAAAGATAAAGAGATTAAGAGAATATGTTCTGTGGAGGTGTGTGGTGAGGTATAGGGGAAGGGGATGTCTCAGCGGGCCCATGCAGTGGCATCCCTTCTCCCAGAGGGAGCAGCCACATGATGGTATATTATAGAATAGAGTTTATTCAGGGTATGGGAAGGGGAGTTAAGAGGGGTAGTAGAGACAGAGAGAGAGAGAGAGAGAGAGGAAGAAGAAGGAGGAGGAGGAGGAGGAGGAGGAAGAGGAGGAGGAGGAGGAGGAGGAGGAGGAGGAGGAGGAAGAGAAAGAGGAGGAAGAGGAGGAGGAGAAGAGAAGCAAAGGCTGGCCATGACCACATGGAGAGAGAAGGGAAGGGGGAAGGAGCTAGGGGACAGGGATCAAGGGATCAAGAGATCAAGAGCAAGAGATCAAGAGAGAGAAAGAGGTGAGGTGGGGGTGGGGCAAGCAGCCCCTTTTATAGTGGGCCAGGCCTACCTGGTTGCCAGGTAACTGTGGGGGTGGAGTTTAGACAGAATGCTAACAGTTTCCATGGAGGCAAAACACAAGGATAGGGGAGGGACACTGAGCTTTGTGTTGGGGATGAGGCTGTCCAGTTTGATGCTAAAGAGGGAGACCAAGCTAGCCATGTGGTCAGACTGGGCCATGCTGCCAAATCTGCACTCTCTGTGGAAGGTCTATCATCTTGGTAGGCATCTAAAGATATGACAAAGGATGCTCTCTGATTGATTTCTCTTTAGTACTCAGAGAAAGCTCTGGGATGGGTGGGTACATTTTGGAGCAAGGCAAATCCAGTGGAAAGGAATAGGTTGAAGTCTGGGTTTATGGTATCCAGAAGGACAGAAGGCATCTTTGCTCCGATGTGAGCTGGGGGGCCCTAGCACATAGGCTCATTCTAACTTGCTGAAGCAGCGATTATAAGTTGTCCAGGCTTCTGAGAGGTTCCAGAGCCTGAGAGGGGAACATGGCTTACACTGGGGAGCTCCACCCACTGAATACCCCATCCTATTGGGGCAAACTGGCTGAGCTTATGGCACCACCTTATGGCCAGAAAGAGTACTGTCTGACCGAGTAGTGGACGCACTTCTAGGACCTGTTAACACTAACTGGGCTTCCCACGGTCTGCTCAATTTCTGCACACCAGCTCACCCAGGTCCAGCCAGTTCTCACAGGGCTATGATTTAACTTCATGGCCACAAGGAAGGACATCTCTGTTTTTTAATTTTTTTTTTTATTTTCCATCTTCCCTCCATCTTCCACAGCTGCCTTCTGTACACTCTGCTTTTTCATGCTTGTAGGAAGGAAAACAGGAAAAAAGGGGGTGGAGGTTAGAGGTAAAACTGGACAAAATGTCAAACTGCTGCATCAGGCTCCCCAAATTCTCATAAGCAGAAGTCTCCCCTAAAAAATCCCGGTCCTACCCCTTGTCCTCATTCATTGGTTGCCTTATTGACAAGGCTTCAGGATTAAAGTAGACGAAGTCTTTCCCATTTGGTTTTGTTTATTAATACATCTCCAAAATGTTTTCTGTTCTTTTTCCCTGTCAAACCTCAGCTTGCCAACATCCGATTGAAGAAGGCTTTTGGATCTGGCCTGGAAACCAACCACTTACAATTTTTTTTTTTTTAAAAAAAAGCTGGGCACAGTGCTGCATGTCTTTATTCTCAGCTACTTGGGTGACAGAGACAGGGGGATGGCTTGAGCCCAAGATTTTGTGGCTAGTCTTACGGTGGCTAGCAATACTGTGAGGAGAGTATATTCTGAGTTCTCTAACTAGCTTTCAAAGTGCTGAAACACATCACTTGAGAGCTGGGCATTTTCTCTGTCTTATCAATTAGTAGTCAAGCCATTCATGGATTGGCCAGAAATACAAATGATACAAAGGAAAAATTTAAAGTCTTGGAGAATAAGGACACTATATCCCTCACAGTAGATTTGTTTCCTGGGATAGCATGAGAAGACAGTGACCATCAAGTGTCTGCTGTGGACCGAGCCATGTTAGGGTCTCATCCCAAAGCCTCAACAGGACCCGGCAACTGTCACTGTTTTCCTTGGAATGTAGCTTTTTCTTTCTTCTCATGTGTTGAGACAAACTTCAGGAAAAAAAATATCCCAAGCAAGGGGCTGTCTAGCTTCCCAGCTGAGGCCAGAGGGACGCTTGTTCTGGGAAAAGGTGG